TGGGATAATAATAATCTTGTATATTTCTATAGAAAATATTTCCAATAATATTTAGAAAATATTATAGATATTTTCTATACACAAAATGATATATGTGGAACCAAAATAATATTTTCTCTCACTAAATTGTAATGGCCGAAACTCCCTTGGACCAAATTGATGACTGTGGTCTATCTTATTCAAGTGAGAAAGTGGGTATAATAATGGAATTTAATTATGCATAAAATGACAAATTAACAAATCAATTACAAATCACTAATTTATCAATCAAGTAAGTTAATACCAATTTGTCAACCTTGAAATCCATATGGCCGAATGATGATATGAGAAGGATATTTGAAATTCTTCTCCACTTAAATGTTCAAAGTGTATTTTATTTGACACCAAAAATTAATATAAAATTAATTTTAAATCAAATAAAAATACCAATATCATTTTTAAACAAGTATACAAATATACTTTAAATAGTTTATGTCAAAATAATTATTTTCATAATTAAAATGACAAATCAAAATAAAATATTCAACATATAATATATATATTAATCGGCACATATATATATAATATATATAACCGAATATTTATATATATATTATTATATTCCAAAATATTTTATTTTACTATTTTTACAAATATACAAATTAATTATTATCCCATTGTTTAATCCTACTCCTTAAATTGTCCAAAGTGTGTGACCCGTATAGGCACTTATAAAGCTGGCCATAGTATTGGCTCTGCACCAATACTATAAGCAATAAGCGGTATCTAGCAACACATTATTGCTCCCAGATTATAAGTTAAGACGTTTGCACCGTCAAAACCTTTCCACGACTTAGACTCCGTGTAACTGTATCCTTTTGTCTCAATGTCTAAACTTAATGCAAGGGATTAATAAAATCCAACTTGTATCTATTAAGTCATTCACTGATTTATCAAGCTTGACTAATAGGAACAGACGTCATAAAAGCATCTCAGCATGGCCATGCAATTTCATTAGTCATAACTTATCACTGGGCCCCATAAGACATTAATCTCTTTAATAAGAGTAGTGACAAATCCTATGTACGTAATCTACGTTTCTGAATACGTGCTGCGGCATACCCAAAACAAAGCCTGTATACCATCCTTATTTCATATGGCTTAGGACAATGCATCAAAGCATGCGGGTTCACGTATGCAGAAAACGTAATACTTCAAGTCGAAGGATAGTTACACCCGTGGTCGCGCTAAAGATGCTTAGAGCATGAACTAAAAGTTCAAGCAACATCTTTAGGATGGGTCAGTCCGGCATCCTATTATCTCTAGATAATATCTGCCCATGTGCGGATGCGAACACACCGTCATTGACTATGAGACTAAGTCAAACATCCAACACACACTAGTCTCACATGCATTAACGATATCCCACTCTCGTTAATACTCGACTATGGACATTTAGATAAATATTNGCCCCATAAGACATTAATCTCTTTAAAAAGAGTAGTGACAAATCCTATGTACGTAATCTACGTTTCTGAATACGCGCTGCGGCATACCCAAAACAAAGCCTGTATACCATCCTTATTTCATATGGCTTAGGACAATGCATCAAAGCATGCGGGTTCACGTATGCAGAAAACGTAATACTTCAAGTCGAAGGATAGTTACACCCGTGGTCGCGCTAAAGATGCTTAGAGCATGAACTAAAAGTTCAAGCAACATCTTTAGGATGGGTCAGTCCGGCATCCTATTATCTCTAGATAATATCTGCCCATGTGCGGATGCGAACACACCGTCATTGACTATGAGACTTAGTCAAACATCCAACACACACTAGTCTCACATGCATTAACGATATCCCACTCTCGTTAATACTCGACTATGGACATTTAGATAAATATTTATTTCAAGATGTTAGTCTCATCAGCAGAAGAACACTATCTGATAAACATCTTTTAAATATAAATCTAGGAATATAATGTTTGTTTACATTAGCATGAGATGTGTAAACATATTATATCTGCCTATACATGATAGAATAATGATAAACAGTTGGCCATCAGGGCACAACTCCAACAATACTCTTTAACACAGAATCTAAGACCTAAAACACTACCCAACTAAATAAACAACCTCTTCAGTCTCGTTCCTTCCACCGATGCTCAAGTCCCTTCTTCACGGATGGATATGAACTTGTTGTAGCTTTGATTCTTAGCCTTGATGCACAAAATGATGATGATATTTTGTCACTCTTTTGTCATTATCAAAACCTAAAAGACAATGGGCAAAGGACATTGCAAAAATATATATGCATGATAGCACATTGTCCAACACTTATACCAACAAGGTGTATCTTCTTTCCGAGATCTCATCACTTATAAAACTCCAAAGTTAAGCGTGTTTGACTTGAAGCAATTTTAGGATGGGTGACCCCTTGGGAAGTTTTCTGGCCGCGCACGAGTGAGGACAAAGTGTGCGGGAAAGACTTGTGTCACGGTCAGGGTGGGGGCCGGGATGTTACAAAAAGTCCTTGTCCTGACCGAGCTTTGATGTACCAAATAGTATGAGTGGCGGCATCACAATGTTCATGTCGTTGATTGGCCATAAAGTGGGATAAGATATGAACATCATAGGTAAGATTTGGCCATGTTATGGTGAGATAGATTAGGCGTCCAACCAAGCCACGGTATTGAGATGGATCAGCTAAATGGGGACCATAGGCCAGAGCCAAGCGATGATTAGCTAGAAGCGGGGTAATGTCGGGATGACAACCTAAGTAGCCAATCACAGAAAGGATGTACAGTGCATACTTCCGTTGAGAAAGAAATAAACCAAAAGAATTATGAGCAACCATGACACCCAGAAAATACTTCAGCAGTCCAAGGTCCTTCATGTGAAAACATGTAGACAAGTAGTGTTTAAAACGGGAGATAAGAGCCTCATCATTACCAACAATCACCAAGTTATCGACATATATAAGAACACGACGTTCAAAAGAGCCGTGCACAAGAGTAAAGAGAGAGTAGTCTGCCTTTGACTTGGTAAAGCCATACGCGCAAAGAGCGGATGTGAGCTTGGAAAACCAACATTGTGGTGCTTGGCGCAGCCCGTAAAGAGATTTATGCAACCGGCAAACTAACCCTTAGCGACGAGAAGCAAAACCGAGAGGGGGTTGCATATAACCTTGTCCTTGAGGTCCCCATGAAGAAAGGCGTTGTGAAGATCCATTTGATGAAGACTCCAATTGTGCAAAGCGGCCACAATCAGCAGAGCCCGGACTGTCACAAGCTTAACAGTCGGAGTAAAGGTCTCCGTGTAGTCAGTTCCCTCCTTTCACGATTGCGAGGAATCACAAGACATGCTTTATAGCGTTCAATGTTATTGTTAGATTTGTGCTTGATTTTGTACACCCACTTCAAACTAATTGCCTTTTTATTTGGAGACCAATTCAAGTTCCATTCGCCTGAAGAGCATTTAGCTCGTTATTCATTGCGAACCGCCAATGGATGTTTAACTACCTGTTTAAAGCTAGTGGGAAATTGTGTCTTTAAAGCCTCATTTTGTTCTATGGGTAGAAGAAAATTTATCAGAGTTAACAAATTTAGTTATACAATGAACAGTACCTAATGTGGGAAGCAGAACAGGAGGGCAAACTTGCGTACTACGAACACTGTGCATGAAAAAATCCCGTAAATGTGAAGGGGGATAATGATAATGTTGACTTCGGCGGTTGGGCTCATATTCCAGATGGATGTTTGTTATTGGGTGTTCTGTTGAGGATTTATTGGGTAATGGGTTGTCTGTAGAGGATGTCTCGGGTAGGTGTGTTTTGGGTTGGGGTGTTTCGCGCTATTTGGTGAGAAGACGAATGGCAGGAGGTTGTTGAGAGTTGGGTTTGGAAAGAGGGGCTGGTTGTGGGCTTGGTGTGGTGGCTGGTTTGTCGTTGACAAACTCGTCCACTAATAGGATGGGGTCGGATGGACGTTCAAGTGAAGAAACAAAAGGAAAATAGTTTTCAACAAATTTGACGTCTCAACTAACTAAGATCTTATTGGTTTCCAAGTCCTGCAATCGCCATCCTTTTTTACCAAAAGGATACCCAAGGGAAAGACAATGACACGAGCGGCTCACAAATTTATCCCCATGATTTATTTGATTTTGTGCATATGCGAGAGAGGCAAAAATACGTAAGTGGGTATAGGATGGTTCTTCACCAAAAAGAAGAGCATAGGGAGGTTTACCATTAAGCAAGGGAGTTGGGGTAAGATTTATAAGATAAGCAGTTGTAAGGATACAATCACCGCAATAAGTAATAGGAATATTTGCTTGGAAACAAAGTACACGTGGAATGTTAAGAATGTGTTTGTGCTTGCATTCGACTCTCCCATTTTGTTGAGGAATGTCAAGGCATGATGATTCAAAAATTATTCCTTTAGAGGCAAAATATGGTTTCATGCATGTGAACTCCATTCTCGTATTGCTATGAAGCTTTTTCACTTGGGAATCACACTAACACTAAACAAAAGAGAAAAAGTTACGCAGAACACCAAGTGCTTCATCGTTATGAGTCAAGAGGTATACCTAGGTTGCGCGAGAAAAATCATCTATGTTGGTCAAGAAGTATCTGGCACCAGTACGAGATGCGGTACGGTACCCTCCCCATATATCATAGCGTATTATAGAAAAAGGAGCATTAGATTTATTAAAATTGGTAGGAAAAGAGTCACAAGACTGTTTAGCATGAAAACATACATCACAAGGTAATGAAGTAACTCGACAAGAGGAAGAACAAAACGGAAGAAAATGACAAATCTCAGGAGAGGGATGACCAAGACCTTGTTAGCCTTGGTTTGCCAAGCCTCGTGTTTTGATGTCAACCAACAATATAAGAGCTGATGTTTTGTAACACCCCAACCCGCGTAACCCGAACCAACGAGCTAGCGAATCGGGTTGTTACAAATTTGGTATTCACATGCACAATTTTTTTTCATTTAAAATAAAAGATTCGTTCATACTTATTTAGAACAACTCATCATTTAATCGGAGTAAATAAAACAGACGTTGCGGAAGCCTTTAAAACAATATCATTAAACATTCTTGTAATTCAAATAAAATAAAGTCAAAAGAGTCATTAATCCAGATTCAATAACTTCGGGCCATCCACTTCGCAAGGCATCACCGTCCACCAGGGTGCTCATCAAATCCTTGATCCCTACCTGCACGCATAGTTCAACGAGTGTGGGGATATCTACGCTAGAACACATAATGGCTTACAAACACAAATATACACATAAGTACATATGATCACACAAGGTAAAACTTAGCTACATTAGTCAACCATTCTTTTTCATGTCCATTCTAAAGTATACTCTAAACCGTAGTTCAGATTGGGTCTCAATGTACGTACATCACTGCCATGGTGGATCCAAGCCACCTCCGATGAGTTACTAAACCCAATCGGTCAATTCCGCTTTTATTATTATGGTGGATCCAGGCCACCTCCGTTGGGTTTCCAAACCCATCCGGTCACTTCTAATTTTATTATTAGGGTGGATCCAGGCCACCTCCGTCGAACCGCTACGTTCGTCCGGTCATCTATGGTGAATCCAAGTCACCTCCGTCGGACTACTAAGCCCGCCCGGTCATCTAAATTCAACATCAAACAATCATATGCAACTTCAACAGTTTCAATACCACATGAAAAACAACAGCATGTATTCAATTATCCCATGTCTCATGTTTGCAGTTTAATTTACTCATAAAAGAACGAATTCAACATACAGTATCAGGAGTATATCAAAGAGTTTCTCAAATTATACAGCCACAATCTTAGTCCAATTATTCACGATCTATCTTTCCCACAACTCAACCCATCATCAAATTCATTCCCCATTAATATTCTCTAAATCAGGCAGTACCCACATTTAAATCTCAAGTGACATATAGGCATAATTGAAATAAATTCCTAAGTTAGTAAGTTTCAACCCGTACATATCAAATACAGACCACACACCTATGTTTTTATCATAAATCATAATTAATCATCCATCATCATAATCTAATTCCTAGCAACTCAATTGCATACAGGAATACACAGAATCATATATATATCTTACAGGTATATCTATACTTGCAAACGATTATGGGTTCTAATGGTAGAGGGTCCACACTCACCTCAAAATTGAAGGAATTTAGCTCGGATTGGGAAGAGAGAAGGAAACGCCGCTGCCCTGGTTCGGCTAAACCCTCTGCGCGACGGGGAGGAAGGGAGGCGGCGCTGGTTGGCGATGACGGCAGAGCTCCTGGCGGCTGCTGCAGCTGCTGGCTGACCGGTCGGCGACGGAGGGACGAGCGCAGAACAGAGGGACGAGCGCAGAACAGAGGGACGACCGGAAGACGAACGGGAGAGAGTGTGTGTGTGAATCTGTAACCCCCCTTCCATTATTTAATACGGAGTATAATATTAAATAGATATTTAGGATAGGGTAAATCTAAGTCCAATTACCTCATACGGCAGTCGTAACTTAGGCCCAGTAAGTCCGATTCTCAATCCGTTTGCGGGCTCAGGTTTAGAACAGCGAACCCTACAACGTGGGTCAACTCTTATATTAAATACGCAAATTAGGAAATAACTCTTCGCATTGACCAGTTCAATAATTAATTAATTATATAAATTAATTAGAAATACTAAGCCGGGTTTCGAGGCGTTACATGTTTGTTAAGTGGTTCAAATACAAAAAGAATCCATTTAGATTCAGTTTTCAAGAATGAAGTTGAAACACTAAAATAACGTAGAATAAAGGTAGAAACAAATGTGAGGATATGATTTTATATACCTATATTCACAAGCTCAAAATGCATTAACAAAATATGTTTAAAACCATATAATAAACTTTTTCAAATACCCAAAAGGTTTTAAACTCAAACGAGAAGGATTAAGCAATTTTTAGAAAAAACAGATCAGGTAACCGATAGCTGTTCTGGTACCTCTCTACTGCTTAACGGTAGACTATACCATTGGACCGGTACCTAGGTCCCACCAGGTGCAAGTTCTGCCAAAGCCAAATGACTTGAGACGATACTTAGAGACCGCCCTTCACGGTACCCCCTACCATCCTAACAATACCTTGATATCATCCAGTCAGTACCTTGCTATCGTTACCGTTGGAGAAAAATTCAAATTCTAGATTTTAAATCTAATCACCTTTATTTGGTCAAAATCCACTGTAATTACTCTCCAACAGCTGCTTAATTTTGTCCATTATAAATATCGCCTAAATTCTTCATATTTTAACAAGAAACCAAACTCCAAATATCCTACTTTTATATTTTAAGTGTGTTCATTTTTTTATTCTTCATTTTTTATATTTTGGTTATGTCGAGAGCCTTATTCTCCTGTTTTTATACACACACTTTTGAGCTTGTGTTTTAGATATATACTCTCATATTCATAGGTTTATATTACATTTTTGAGAGAGTATATTTTCGATCTACAGTGGCTAAGTTTTGTTCTTAATCTTTGAGATCAAGCCGTTGTGTAGAACCTACTTTTGTGTTCTTTATACACACTTTCTTACGGTCAAGAATAGCCATTACATTCTAAAGTTATAACCGTCGAGGATAGCCATATAAATCCTTGTTTAGAAGGTTCAAGGTTAAGCCTTGTAAATCCTTGTGGAAAAAGGTTGAAGGTATCCGTGAAATCTTCGTTGTAAGCAGTTCGAGATAGCCGTAGTAAAATCTCAGGGTTGAATCCTATTGGAAAGGGTTGTTTGCAAAACTAATGCAATTTTTTAACGGAGTTCGAGAGACTGGGACTTAGTGGATTCGGAAATCTTTAAGGAGGGGCCTTAAGGTACTAGAGTAGGGAGTTCCCGAACGAGTCTAAAATTGGTGTGTCTTTACTTTACACTTTTATTTGTGCATTTTATTTATTGCTCCCACATTTTCCAACACCAAATTTACTAAACACCAAAAAGTTTTTAAATGCCTTATTCACCCCCCCTAAGACATGGGCACAATAACTAACAGGCGCTGATGCCATATAGCAAATCCTTCGTTGCACGCACAACAAAGGCTCTATCATGCACTTTCTGGGTGAGGTAGTAAAGGCCACCGACTTGTTCACCCATTCCAATCGCCATCTTTGAGATACAGTCCTGAATAATATAATATTTATTAGTAAACTCGATAAGCATTTTTTATCTTCAAGAAGTTGGAAGTCAAAAATTAAATTGCAGTTGAGTTTAGGCACTATAAAAACATTGATCAGTTTTAATGAACTATTCAGGACTACATCGCCCTTATGTGCGACTTCTTCACTTTCTTCGTTAGGAAGACCCACTCTACACTCTTTTATAGACTGAATGTTCACCAATTTGTTTCTACCTCCGGTCATATGTTGACTTGCACCACTGTCAATAATCCAATAACCATTAGCTGTACTTGAAAACTGGTTCTCGCATTGTACGTTGGGCTACCCCACGAAGGGACCCTCGACTGTCTGGTTTGTCGCACAGTTCCCGTTGCCGCATCCAGTGACAGTGCCCTTGCCTCCTGGTGCCGCACCACTACCACGACCTATGCCACGTCTGCCACTTTGCACACATGGTCGGGGTGCCCTATGATCTGGAAACATCCACTTATCTCGTTTCCCGTATGGACACAATGTTTACATTTAAGATTGTTGTCTCGACTCGGTCTCTCGGTGGAAACGACAAATCCCATCGAGTTTTGTTCTTCTTTCGTTGTCAGTTTTATCACTCCCTCCTGCTATATAATTATGTAGTATACTTGATTGATTGAAGCAAGAGGTTCGATTTTGAGGATATTCGAGCAAAGGCTATCATAGCCTTCATTGTCCAGGCCCATACAAAATTGATGAACCGATTATATGGTATTGTCCAGCCTTCATTAGGTAATTGAGTTGCGTAGATCTGATTCTATGGTATTGTAGATCCATGAAACGAGCTTAGCATTCACGATCCACCATTCTTCAAGCTCTTCTGAGCCGCCCTCTGGGAATAATATAGACTCATAAATAAACCTGAATGTAAGTTTGGCACAAAGAGCGATTCTCATAGCTCTCGCCCATTCTTCATACTTTCTTCCATCAGTTTAAACTGTGTGATCAACAAGCCTGGCATATCCACAGATTTCAAATCATATGGACTTGCTTTTAATCCTTTTGTCTCGTCGGTTTTGCCCATCTTCTTGGACGGAGTTTCCTGAATTTTTGGAGTTTTGGTCATGGCATCAATCGGCTACGGTGCTCCGATACCATGTGAAACATGAGAAACCGAAAGAGAGAAATTTTGTTTATTATTGTGCTTGTGTGTACAGGAGATCTTCCTTCAATATATAGGGAGAAAAATTTCCAAGTCTAAGTAGGAAAAGAAATCTACAAATAAGGAAACACAATCTCTTAAGGAAACAAAAACCAATTATGACTCAAAACCCTTTTCCTTTTCTTGCTCCAAACGTCACACGTAACATAATGTAAAAGGAAAGAGATACAACAATTATATTTGCCAACATACAGGCCAACAACAAAAAATCTACAAAAAACTGTACTAATAATTTACTACATACAATATTTAAATTTATCTTACTAATTCAATTAGTTTTAGAAAAGCCATATCACAAGTTCACAAAGAGAAATTGGCCTGGGTAAGCTTGGTGTTATGGGAGATCTGAAGTCAACGGAGCAATTTGCGGGCATGGAATAACAAGAGATTGACGCCATTTGTGGTGGTATCCAAAGCTACAAAATGGTTTGAGATGTGGCGGGAGGTGAACAAGATGCAGCACCAGAATGGTACACATCAACTAGAAAGCAATGTTAAATGGAAACCACCTCGTATGGATGAGATGAAGTGTAATGTGAATGCAAGTTTCAATTATGACACAAGGACCGCAAGGGTCGGAATGGTGGTACGAGATGGGCAAGGAACTTTCTTCGTGGTGCACATCTTGGGCTGGGACGGGTGGAAGATGCTTTGATAGCAAAGGCAATTGTTATTATTTTAAAGGTGCGGTTTTAGATTGTAAAACTCTGATTAGAGAATTTTGCTTTCTCTCATTGTCAGTTGTGAGGATATCAGCAAATCAGGTTGCTCACTTGTTAGCCTGAGCATCTGATTCAGGGTCTAATTTCATAGAGTGGGTCTGGTATTCTCCCACAATTGATTTATGATGCTTTGTATTTTGATAACTTGAGTTAATTCAATGATCACTATTTCAACAACAAAAAAAGGTCGTATATTTTAAGTAACACAATCTATGGGGAAAAGGTTAAATGGTGTGAGAAAAATGATAGCTTCAAAACAAATCTGCCGCCAAAGTTGAACACCAGATACATTTTTAACTCTTTAACCCACGTTAGACCCGATCACGGGCCCGGGGTATCCGGCCCGCCCGCAAAAGCCAGCCCGTAAAATAGCGGGCTTGAGCTTGACATTTTAGGGTACGGGCAGTGCTTGTGCCTTATAAATGGCGGGCCGAATAATTTAGTGCCGGGCTCGGATTTATGCTCAAGCCCACGGGCCAGCCCGGCCCGAATAAATTAAATATTTATTATTAATATAATAATAATAATAATAATAATAATAATAATAATAATAATAATAAACAAACCTATTTCAAATTATTATAAACACACATACATACCTCTATGGAGAGAAAAAATAAACTATAGTTATATATAATAAAATGAATACATCTTTATTACTCCGTATTGTTTGCAACGTAACACACATTGATTATGACATTACAATAGATAATATTTTGTACTCCATACATAGTAGCAATATCAAACAAAATATATTTATATATCAATTTTTCTTTCATTTACTCATAATAGTTTTTATATCAAATATCTACTCCCTCCGTCCCATTTTAAATTGCCTGTTTGCCTTTTTTCTCCGTCCCAAAATAAGTTGCCTGTTAGTTATTTTCGTAAACTTTTAAAAATAAAATGCCTAAACTACCCCTAAAATAAGTCACTCTTCTTCACCTTATCTTCTCATTCATCATCACCCCTTCTAAAAAGTAATGAAAATTTTGAAAAATCAACTCTATTTTTTATTTTTCTTAAATATGTCCAAAAATCAAAAAAGGCAATTTAAATTGGGAAGGAGGGAGTAATATATTAACTTGTTACTTTTTTTTAAATTATTTAGAAGTTTTTGTCGGCCGAGCCGGGCCGGCCCGAAGCCCGCGGGTAATCATGCGGGCCGGGCTTGGGCTTCAATTGTTAGGCCCGTTATACGGGTCGGGCCGGGCTCGGGCCTAGAAAAATTTCGTAAAGTAGTGTCTCGGCCCGGCCCGAAACCCGGCCCGGCCCGCACTTTGATGAGGCTAACCCACGTAGAATCTTCTTTAATGTTAAAACTCTACAATGACTGCAAAACTCAAAAACTCATCAAGAGCTACAATTCCACTCTATACTAGTGTATTGAAATTTTAAGATTATGTTTGGGTTTTTAAAAAAATATCGAACCCTTGTGAAATCTGCCAAAATCTAATTTTTCTAGCTTTTCTCCATACCCAATTTACTTAATTCCCTCAAGATCGTTGAAATTTGCTAAATAATTGAACACTATATTTCTTTTCCCTATAAATAAATAAATTAATTAAATAAAAGAAACAAAATTAGTTTAACATATGAAAATAAAAAAACACTAAAATAAATAAAGTATAAATTACTCAAAAAATAGAAATATAGAGGATAAATTATTACAGTAAAAACATGAAATTTCAATAATAAAATAATGATCTTAAAAAGTGTGACGAATAGTAATATCGAGCATTGATTCACAAAGTTATTACTATACGTATACTTTTAAACAAAAATTAAAAAAAAAAGAAAAAAAATTGAAACAAACAAAACTTGAATTATTTATTTTGAATAAATGAAAAAATAGTATTCAAAAAATTATTTTGAATAAAAACATGAGATATCAACACTTTTCATTTTTCTCAACATCTTTCAACTTTTTCTAATTTCATCCAAGTTCTTTCAGTTCCTCTCAAATCCCTCTAGTTTCTTCCGACTCTACGTATACTTGAGCATTGATTCACGAAGTTATTACTATACGTATACTTTTAAACAAAAAATAAAAAAAGAAAAAAAATTGAAACAAACAAAACTTGAATTATTTTGCATTATTTGTTTTAAATAAATGAAAAAATAGTATTCAAAAAATTATTTTGAATAAAAACATGAGATTTCAACACTTTTCATTTTTTCAACAACATTCAACTTCTAATTTCATCCAAGTTCTTTCAGTTCCTATCAAATCCCTCTACTTTCTTCCGACTCTTTCTAGTTACTTCCAATTCCTTTCTATTTAGGGTATATAAGTTAGGAACTTCTTTTTTGAGAATATGTCTAACGATTTACTATTATTTGGGAGTTTTTCTTTTAATCCTTACCTCGCTAGCTCTTAGCGTAGCTATTACATGCAATAATACATAGCACATTTTAATTTAACCCTGATAAAAGACACGTTATAATGCACAACGCCTATATGATATGCCACATACCAAGGAAATATGGTGAGCCATAGTGAGAATGCGACGGAGAGCTGTTTACTATTCAATGAACTTCCAAAACTCATAATTAACAACTCACATCATCTCATATTTTGGTGCAAAAATACATGTTCTATAACTCATGTACATTGCAGACGATTTCTGAAAATTAGACGAAAATGTTAATAGTGTTCAGACGAGACACTGCTTCCGAAGCTGTGCCTCCAGGGGATACCATCTCTCTCTATAATAAAATCCCTCCATTCAAACATAAATGTTGAAGCCAATCGAATACCTCGTGGGTGATTTCCAAAGGCTAAATCCATCCATTATTGCAGAACAGCAAACCTTAGTCTTCCTTCTCTCCGGAGCGATGTGCTTCTCTAGCGTCGGGCTCTGATGTGGAGTTGTCTGCACTATCTGCCTGGTCTCTTGTGCCGGCACTCAAAGGTTCATCCTTCAAAGATTGAATGATCATAACCACACCAACCACAAACACAATGATGGTAACTGACCCAATCCCAATCATAGAGTTTATGAACCCCATAAAAGATGGCCCTTTTATGTGTTTCTGTATTACATTTCCTTCCCTATATCCTCCCAGAAACCGCGTGATATGGGATCCCTGATCATCTTCACCAATACTCTCTGAGCCAATGACCTAGTCAAGTTTACGACAAATGTAGAAAGGGTATCACAATACATTTAACATTCATATCACAGAAAAAGCATTTAAAAAAAGGTAAGCGCACCAGCCTCGAAAAAGTTTAGCTCCAGAAACAGTTCCGTCAAAAGTGTACATATGCATGCATGTATTCAAAAGGTGACTCGCTGGTGCTAAACCTATGGCTTATAGATCATGGCTTATAAACAACGGCAGTCATGGGTCCGTTTCGCTAGCATTTCTGGTGATCTAAACATAACCTATATTTCAAGATGCCTTGTTAAGAACTACAAATACCATGCATTATGCAACAACACCAAACCCGGTTCAAGGGGCCAATATTTGCAGTCTTGGCCCTTTACAGTGAAGACACTAGAATATACGGTAGGCTGAAACCCAATTAACTTATTTATATTTCTGTTGATATTCATTTTAGTTATTAATGTCTATTGTATAAAGAATAAAAAATCTAAATATATGTAAAAAAAGGACTATATCATATTTCATTTTTACTTTGAATTTTCCAAGGTCCAACCAAACATAAGACCTTGGTCGAATGAAGGACCAACATAGGGAACCAGAAGCTGTTCACCCCAGTTCAATCCCCCAAGGAAGCATGGGAAGGGATTTTCAAGGAAGTAGTTTGAGCCATAAAAATGAAGGTTTTAAGCAGGCTTTAGTTCGGATTGTACTTCATTGAGAAAATAAGAAAGTAATTTTTCTATGCTTACTTTTCCATTCGGTAGCATTTTCGTGGCATACCCTATATTTCAAGTAAATGTGTTGTTAAGAACTACAATTACCATGCACAATGTCAACAAAATTAAAACCCAGACTTACTCCTTTTAAAGCAGAAAGGCTAAATCTGTTAGAATCTTGATGCATTGCTGCATTTACTACCCAAAAATACATAAAAAGTAAGAAGCAAGGGAAGTTTAATGTGCCATTTTGATTTAGGTGATGATAGCCACGCCCTCCGAGAAAATAAAATCACTGCACCAATTTTACTTTTTTATAGCATCACTCCGCTTAGGAAATTAATACCCCTAATAGTAATTGACTCCATTGTGCATTTGTTGGAATTGACTCAATTTTTAGTTTTTGTAATTGACTTCATCTTCCAATTTTTTCAGTTGAAAGGGGAGATTGATGAGGATGTAGATTATCGTATTGGAGCTGTTTGGGCAAAGTAGAAGCTAGCCTACGGCGTACTTTGTGACAAGAAGACACTGCAAACATGAAAGAAAAGTTTTATAGGACAGTGGTTAGACCCGCTGTGTTATACAAAGAAGACTAGCAAAGTGTTGAGTAGTGAAAAAACTTGCATTCGTCGACTTCAAGGGGTAGAGATCAGGATGTTGAGGTGGATGTGTGGTCATATGAGAATGTATAAGATCCAAAACAAGGTTGGGGAAGGGTATGGGTAGTACCTCGGGAGGATAAGCTACGTGAAGCTAGATTGATGTAGTTTGGGCATGTAAAGAGAAGTGCAGAGACCACGGGGCTAGAGGTAGACCTAGGAAGAGCTGGAAGGAGGGAATTAGACATGACTTAGTTTGTAGTAGGTGCACGTGTGCTTTTTGTGCTTTAGGTATGTGCTTTGAGTCTTGTTGAAAATAGTCTCTATAATGCAAAATAGGGGTAAGTCTATGTACACACACCCTCTCTAGACCCCATTTTCGTGGGACTTTACTGGGTTTGTAGATGTTTTCTTGTATTAAATGCCATCCTAGACCAACATCCCTAACTTCCATTTTTAGCGAGTTCACCGCATTGAAGATGGATGAGGTTGGTGTTGAAGGAGGCTAAAGCGAGACGAGGAGGATAAGCCAGTGGCATTGAAACAAGGAACCGCCAGTGTAGTGTGCAGTTGAGGTTGAACCAACGATGTAAAAGTAATCTGATGGCTACTACATTGGACAATGGAGAGTGCTAGATTGGTGTTTCTGTTTTGAATTCTTTTACCATGAATTGGTGTTTCAGTTTTGGTTCAGTAATTGTGAATGCTAGTTTTGAATTTTATATTTAGTTAAACAGTCAATGTTAAATTGGAGTGAATTTAATGTTTTGAAGAGGTGGGGCTATCACACCCTTTTTATTTAGTCCATTATTTGCCCGAAGCTAAAACATTGTCAACAAAGAATCTTTTAGCTCCATTGGTAATGGACGGGGTGCCATGCAATGTGAAAGTGATAAAAATGTCTCCATATGATAATTATCATCAGCACAAAGTGTTGTGCAAGAGGACACCTCAAGCAAGGTGGTTTTCATAATTTGCATTGCATCTTTACAATGAACGAACATTTGTCCTTTTTCCTATTTGGCTTCCAATATTAAAAAAGGCTAAAGAATCGTGGTGCCTATGACTTAGAGAGGTAATTTATCTCATATGAGTAAGGTGACAACTGACAAATGCTTTCCTTTGGAAGCCATAAGTTATATATCCTATCTGAACATTACACACGAGCATTGCCTAGCATCTCAATCATAATAAAACTGTCCAACCATTTACTAACCGGAAGATTGCATCTAACTCATGTGTACACACTTTAATATGTCCACATTATCAAATGCGGAAATAAATACACCCATGTGGGCCTTTTAAAATCACATGGGCTTATTACCATATTTTGCAAGTGCAGCCACATGGGTTCCTCAGACTTGTTCCCATGTTTCACTTTGATAAAGCTCAAAAGATGAGATCCACTGTGCATGGAAGTTAGCTTTATAAAAATGAGGTAAATGAAGATGTGTAGCACTTTTAACTTACAGTAAAGTATTCCTCATCTCCATCCCAGATTATCATTTTTGGCAGAGGAGTTTTCTTATTAACATCAAATGACTCTGCAAAATCTTGCCATTGCTTGAATCCAACAAAAGCAAAGACCAAATCACGGTTTGCAGATGCAGCAGCCTTTAAGGTTTTAATTAATCCCTTAGACTTCTCATCCGCCTCATTGTCCATGATTGTAAGGGCAATTTTTCTATTATCATCCTTGATTAACCTTAATGTATCATGATTTATTGGTAAAACCAGAGGCAACAAACTCTGTTTGATGTAATCCTCGAGGAATTTCTCTGCAGTAGATAACAGGAAGAATTAGCAACCAGTAGCTGCCATCCGGTATATAATTAGAAAGATTAGTTGTTTTTAGTTCAAGCTCTACACGTTCCATTTTCACATGCAAATGAACTTCAAGGCCACATTTACTGTAACTTACCAGCTAAGTGCCTTATGAATACAAAATGTAAAGTTGTAAAGGCCATATTCACTTAATTTTATGAGTAATGCAGCATTGAAAACAGCATCAAAATGAAGTTCAACCATAAACTTTGGAGGCATAAACTAGTTTATGAGTTATGAAAGCATAAAGCCATAAATGAAATCTCAAATCCAAGTGTGGTGGTTTGCCGGTTTGCCCTAATTGGTGTTAAACTCTGCCGCATGTTTCCATTTTATGATACAAAGTTTAATATTCTTCTTGTTGGTAGCATTAACTAATTTTGTGTATCACATTTGTATGTGGGAGAATGACTAAAATAGGAATAAAATAGAGGGAAAGAACCAAAATACGATCTTCATGTTTTTATCCCAAAATAAGACCTATAATGTCCAATGTCGATAATCCTAATATATAATACCAAAAAGCAATGTGGAATGCGAATATATAATGCCACATAATCACACTGCAATAGTCCTGCTTTAGGGATAAAAACATGTCACTCCTATTTTGGGGATGAGAGTTATGTTTTGCTCCTATTTTGGGTGATTTATTTTTGTATATCTTTTGAAATTTTAGATAAGTTTAGTTGTACTCCCTCCGTCCCAAAATAAATTTCTCGCTTTCCTTTTTCAAGTCATCCAAAAATAAACCTCTCATTTGTTTTAAGCGAAGCATTGATTAATTCAAATTGTTTCTCTCTATCCGGAATAAGTTCCAACCACACACTTTCACCTTTCTTAAACCCCATGAAAAAACAAACCGTAAGTATAATTTGGGATTAAAGGAGTAAAATACTAGAATCCTCAAACCGGCTGTTAAAATAAATATGAATCACGTACATAAATATCTAAAAACCAATATTCTCTACTGTTGTTTACAAAGTTATACTTTCAGGTAAAAATATCACATATTATTACTTGGTAATCTGTTCATAGAATTGATTGAGAAGTCAAGCAAAATTGATTAAAATTCTCAATGAAGGTAGCGATTCGATATAATAAATCAAACTAAAAAAAAACAGTTGTACTTAATTGAAGCAGGAGTCAGTTTTGGTAGTATTAAGAGTATCCCACATTGGAAAAGTGTGAGGAAAATAATTGGTATATAAGCTCTTGAGTTGAACTAACTAATTAATTGGATTCAATCTTTTAATGTGGTTCAACCCAAGTGTCTTATTGCTCAATCCAGTTATCTCTACCCCAATCCTAAATTCTATCATGGTATCGGAGCAGGTTTTGGCCCACCTCGTTTGTCAAGGTGTCCGTCTAGACGTTCATTCCTAGCGGCCCGTTTGTCTTTAGCCCAGTTGTCCGTATGGAGTATGTACTCAACGGCCTGTGGCCTGTTTAACACGATTGCTCGTGTGGAAGTCCATACCCAGCAGCTCGTGGTCCTTTAGGTGTTGGCGCTCAAAAAAAAGTCAAGGGAGTGTGAGTTCATTTGCAAGTGGTCAACCGGTTAGATTCAAAATGGCCCGGTTGTCCACTTGAGGGGAAGTGTTAAGAGTATCCCACATCGGAAAAGTGTGAGGAAAATAATTGGTATAAACTCTTGAGTTGAACTAACTAATCAATTGGATTCAATCTTTTAATGTGGTTCAACCCAAGTGTCTTATTGCTCAATCCAGTTATCTCTACCCCAATCCTAAATTCTATCAGGTAGAAACTATATCTTCAAAATGATTGCTAAAATAATATGGCGTTTCAAGTATTTGATGAATTTGAGCTCTTAATTAGCAATGGATAACGTAAATAATTATCCATAAATCCAAAATCTTCCACGGTTTACAAAAATCTCTTTTCTCATAAGGAATTCAAATATCATTACTTGATAATCTGTTCATAGTATTGACTAAAACATGTAGTAAAATAAACCAAATTCTCAATGGAGGTAGTGATTCAATACAAATATTAAACTGAAAAAAAGAGATTTGGTACTTATGGGAACACTAATCACGCATAGAAGTATACACACATATTTATCTCATTGAGAAGACTCATTTTCTATTGCTATCAGCCATCTCATAAGTAACTGTTTTTTCACAATCTAATATTGGAAATGGGAGTTTCAATGAATAGTTAAATGCAATGACTCACTAACTGAATGATTTGGACATAACAAAAGGTATGTGTGTGACTGTATGAGAATAAAGAGATGTGCGCTGTTGTAATATGTCAAGCTCTTGATATGCAAAAAGAACGCTGTGTACCACCAAATATCAAAATGCCACAAGAATCAAAATGCTTATTATTTGCAGAAATTAATGGTAAACACACAAATAACACACAATAAGCTTACCTTCAAATGGACCATAGAAAATGTTTTGTTCGTTGTAGCTTGGATGAAGGGCTAGCAAAGCAGGAACCTTATCAAAATCATACAAGGCCATTGTTTCGTCTGAGAAACCATTTGCAACAGAAAACCATGCTTTCTTCTTATACTTGACAGCCATATCTAATGCCACAGATTGGTTCAAGCCAAATCCTATGAATATTGGAAAAAAAGGTCCAGCTTCTTCAATGAAGTCACTAATGGCAGAGTCAGAGTCAAGAACAGTTACATCAGATGCAGCATATTTCTTCAAAAATCTAACAAGTAAATCTGATTTTCGTGGTCCATAATAATCTGTAGGAACTCCATGCACGAACATCTTTAGTGTGGGATATCCACTGCATTACAACCAAAGAAATAAATTCAGAATTAAGCTTTAATGCCTTAACTTCTGGAAATTCAGCAATCAGTCCTTAACTTTCAAGATTCCAATTTTAGTTTATCTTTATTCCTGGAGCAGATCTCAGATTTGTAAAAAGAAATGCTAACTAGTGAAAGCTAAAAGCAATCTTTTAGAGTACAACAAGAATCAATCATATTAGCATTCATTTTTTCTAATTTAGAGATGATACAAAGAAAACATACTCGATGTCATATTTAGAGGCAAGAACTCTGTATTTGTCAGCATTTACTTTTGCAATCACAATAGACTGCTTAAGCTCAGCAAGAACAGGAGCAGCTTTGTCCAGCTGCATAGAAACGTCTATGTATGTCAGGTATTGCACCATTTACCATTAATTACATTAAATGCTTCAAGCCACAACAACAACAACAACAACAAAAACCCAGTTAGATCCCACGAAAGTAGGGTCTGTGGAGGGTGTGAGTACGCAGACCTTGCCCCTACTCAAAAATAGAGAGGCTGTTTCCAAGAGACCCCCGGCTCAAGCTGCACAAATAGAAGGATCACAGTGGATACATAACGCAGGGAGACCACAGATGCATCACAGATAAAGCGCCAAGCACACCCAAAGTAGAGATAAACTAAAGTTAACTAAGGAAAAGTAGTGCAAGCAAATAGTAACAAATAGCACCAAACATACGATGCATATAAAGCACATAACAACACCCCCTACGTCAATGCACCTACCCAGCTACTCTAAATGGATTAAAAAGCATTTCCAGCTCTAGACTTAGCTGTAACGATTTATAACAAGTTTCGCAATTTCAATTTAAATTCCCATAAGAAAGAACAAGAATGAAACAAAGTTGCCAATTTTCTTTATTATCAGTATGGTATGTTTATTCTAGTTGATCTCGTCCTTACATGTCACACTTGGTTATGAAATTTAAACAGTACAGCTCAATAGAATGCAGAAAGAGAAGAGAAGTGGAACACAACCTCGGGAGCGAGACGCTGGCAGTGGCCACACCAAGGGGCGTAGAAATCAACGAAAACATGATCAAATTTCGAAATGGCCGCTTCGAAATTGGAATCGTCCAACTCCAATACCGTCCCATCGACGGCGAACTGAGGCTGCTCAGCGGCCACGATCGCCGGAGATAGGAGGAGGCAGAAGATGAAGATCGCAGAAAGCATTTTCATTTTTCAGTGGAAATATTTGGACTTCTCTGTGGTTTACTCAGTAATAGTTTACGGCATCTCTGCTATTTTACTGTAATTCACAATAGTGTTTTACCTCTTCTGATGGAAGTTAAATGAGAAATGCTTGGTGAACATAAAGCCTAAAATAGGCACACTTTCATATTAAAACATTAAAAATATTAAAACATTAAAAATATATTAAAATAGGACTTTCATATTTTTATTTTTTAAATAAGACTTAAAATACATTTACATTACCAAACATGGTAATGTACATTACCAAAAAGTATAGTAATGTACACATGTACTATGTCACATTACCACATTGTGAAGTCCTATTTTGAGGAAAAAAATAAAAGTCATATTTTGGTACTTTTCTCTATGTTTCAGTCCTATTTAGAGTGATTTCTATAGATATTTAATGTATGTGCACGCATAGACATAAAGTATTTATGTGTGCCTATTTTGGACTTGAAGTACACATGGTGTACCCCAAGTGGTGTTCCCCTAACACTCCTCAAGTTAAATTCCATCCTTAAATTCTAGTTCATATACTAATCAATTATACTAGAGGTAACCCATGGAATATACCCTAAGGTATATTCCAAAGTTATGCACAAAATTTCAGTGGTTTATAATAATATAATATGCTTGGCCGGAGTGCAACGACATCACCGTCCTAGCATCTGACCACCGCCGCCATCCTTGGCCGCAGCCCGACTTCCGGCCACCGCCACGGCCGGGAAGAAGAGGTCCCTCCACCACCGCACGAAGGACATAACGAAGTCCACAACGCCGCTCATGGCGGATTTCACTCGGAACCGCAGGCCGTCCACCACGTGTCCCACTACGGGAACCGGCCGATTCGTCCATATTGTGACGATGAGATCGGCGGAAATAGGCAGACCTATAACTCTATAAGGTATATTGCCGGGCAGATCTCAAGCTCTACCTCTCCATCTGTCACGGGCAGCTCATCTCTGTTCGCTATGATCCATCCGATCATCACCAGATTTGAGAAAGGAGGTCGTTTGAGAGTGAAGATCACTAACGCTGATAAGCAAAGATGGAAAATCCCTGAAGAATTCATACCCAGGAAAGCAAGAACCAATTCATCACCACTTGTCTTGCTACAAGGAGATGAAAACGGCGACAACGTGTTATAGGCCTACCACCGCCACAGTTGCTTAGCTCGTCGCTGTGGTACAGGACTCACTACCATCGAGGTGATCTATAAGCACTACGAGGATGACCAGGCCAGCCGACAGATTTCTACCATGGCCTAAGTCTATCGTCCAATGTTAATCTTCGATCCTCCCCGCATTGAAAACATCCGCGGCCATTACGGGAAATGTTCCAGTCAGAATCTATCGCCACCTCTAGTGACGTCCGACATTGCCAGTCCTAATGTTGAAACCCGGCCCTCCGTCACCGCTGCTAGGGTCCATCCTCCGTCGCTCTAGCCTTGGCCGCTGGGAGAACCAATTATTGTTACTTGGCAAAATTAGGTTCCACCGCTGCCATTATCCATAGTAATTGGGCCTCACATAACATGGAAAGTTAAAGTTCAAAGGAAGAAGACAAGGAGAATCTCAAAAATTAATGTGATGTGCACAGTGAACGGATCCAAATACAGCTAGTGGAGGCTCAATTTCAAATTATTAGGTGGGCATATTTCATTCACAATACTCCATAAAGAGGTGGACAAAAAAAAGCGGAAGATATAATTTCCAGTGGCCCACCCCACTAAAGAGGATCCCAAAATTATGGGACTTATTTTTGGCACACTGGTTACTACACCGGTCTTGCTCAATGCGATTACGAGAAGAAGGAAAGGAAGACTGAGACACAAGCCGAGCTTGGTACGCTGGTTACGACACCGGTCTTGCTCAGTATTATTAAAAAAAAGTGGAAGACTGGGACACAGGCCCGGCCTGGCACGCTGGTTACTACACCGGTCTTGCTCAGTATAATAAAAAAATATAAAATATGTGACACAGGCCCGACCTGGCACGCTGGTAAATATCATTCTTGTGCGCGAGACAGGCCAAGAATGATATACACACCGGTCTTGCACATATTTTCTCGTAAGTCTGAACCCAATCGAATTGGGTACACCGGTGTCTCAGCTGAGCTTCTATCGGGGACACCCGATTCTTCAAGCCTTTTAAACAAGGCACTCCGGAACTCTAGAAGTGGTCTCTGCATTACATGAAGATATTTGCATCAGTTAGCCGGGCTACCATCAATCTTCGACAAAGCTGCTCCAACATACTTAATTCGTATTAAGTAAAATCGATTACTTCGATATACTAATTTCGCTATGTATCGTTTATTTAATCCGTACTGACATCGGTCTCGACGAAATAACTACTTGAAGCACCGCCGCTTCATCGTACTAACTCCGGTGTCATATAACTACTCGAAGCATCGTTGCTTTATCGAACTGACATCACTCTTGTTACGATAATTATTTGCGCGAAGTTTAATCACCCTAACACCGAGCTCCTCGGTAAAGATAATAATTTTTTTTTGAGCACGGCATAGGCCGGTTAAAAAAAAAGAATGTTGTACATATTATTTTTGCAGGAAAAACTTCTGATTCAAGAAATTAGAGAATTAATGAAGACTCGGAGGACTAGCAATAATATCAACCGGTCAAGAATCCAAAGTACGAAGACTGAAGATATCACTCGGAGGACTTGTCTACTTTTTTAAGTTGATGATTCTCACAACTTAAAAAAGTGGAGGACTTCTTGATGGGAAATAATACGTGGCTCGGCCCACATTTCCCAATTATTTACGAAGAACAGTCAAACCGGGCCTGTTTAATAAAATGGAGGAATAAGAGAATATTCTCCGAATATGCTTCCCCTCCTCCCCTATAAAGAGAGGGTGCCCCCAATGTGAAGGGGAGGCCAATTTTTACACTCTCCCCTGCCCACTTCGTTTCTCTCTCTAGATTATTATGCATTTTTATTTTTCAAAGAAGCTTCAAGCTTCCATTAATGGCTTCTGAGCCCAATTCATGTACCATGTACAATCTCCCGATATTAATAAAAATCCCCCGTTGGCAAGGTACCACCAAAAAAGGCCCGTGGGTTTCTCTCGATTTGGGTTTCCACGTCAAAATTTCTGTGTTTATATTTTGGTGTATTTTTTAGACTAATTTATCGTTTTTGCCGGGCTAAAAATGATATACCGGTCGATAATTTACACCATCAAGCCCGATCAGAAAAAATTTATTAATGTCATCATATCTAAAGAATGATTAAGAGACAAGAATATCAAACTCAATAATGATATGATCTCAATAGTTAAATTCTACTGCATATATTAATTTCATGATCTCTCAAAAATGATTAAGAGATAAGAATATGAAACTCAAGAATGGTACGGAGTATGCCTTGGGAGTATTTATAGCCTCCTAAGCTTTCTAATCCTATTAGACCTCTTCAGAGAACTAGGTGAACATTTACCCCAAGTAATTAATCATAGGTCATGTTCTCTTCAGCTAATTTTTGCTACTTATTACTTATTCTAATAAGAATCGGATGAGATCCATTCAAGATCAGTCGGAATCAGATCCATTCAGATCAGATTAGATTATATCCATTGAAATTAGAACATTATTTAAAAATAAATAACAAAAAATTACAACAATAATAATGATTGAAATAATAATAATGATTAAAATAATAATAATCATTATTATTATTAAATAATATTAATAATAATAGTGATTAATGTTATTATCATTAATAATTAACAACAATAATAATTATTAATAATAACAATTAATAATTAATAATAGTTAACAATAATATATCATCATCCTACTTAATAATAACTCTAATAGTAGTTAATAATAATGATTCAAATGATAATAATCATTATTATTATTAACTAATAAATAATAATAATAATAATAATTAATAATAATAATTATTAATAATATTTATTTGTAAATATAATAATAACAATAATTAGTCTTACTTAATAATTATAGACTTTAAAATTAATAACTATTTTAATTATTATTATAACTAATAATGACAATAATCATCATTAATGATAACACGTAATAATAATAATTTATTATAATAATATTAAATATAATTATTAAAATAATAAGGATAATAATAATAATAATAATAATAATAAGTAATTACAATTAGATTTAGTATTAATAAATATTATGATTTTAAATATTATTATTAATAATTAATAACAAGAATAATTATTATTACTCTAATTATTTGAACTTGAATTAAATCCATTCAGATTAGATCAGATTCATTTAGATCGGATCAGATCCATTCCGATCGGATTCTGTAACGCCCCAAAACATACCCTAGAATTATTAATAGATAATTATTAAAATTAATCGAATTTGTTTTGATTAAAATAAATTGTTTTGGGGCCGATAAGAAATATGTTTAGATGTCCAATATCACAATCTCGATAAATCTCATAGAAATAAATCCAATATGTTAACTACTTGTATTGTCTTGATTGGGAACCTGAGTACAGACCTAAATCAAAAATAAATGAAGAAATCATTTATGAAGTGAACTTTAAAATGATTTATTTAAATAAATCATGAGATTAAATAATATGAATTTAGTATGAGAACCTTTTATGATAAAAGTCAATCAAACCAATTTTGACTCTGTTAAAGTCAAACACCCAAAAATATGATGTCGGAAAAAGTATTATAAATATAAAAGTTATATCATTGGATAGAGTTCGACTGCCTTATCGCAACGATGCAAACATAAATCAATTCGGAGAAAGTTGGACCAAAAATAGTACCCTGACTAGGACCGAAATTAGTCCCAATCGGGGAAGAGTAAATATCTGATCGGCGCAGCCTCCTCCACTATGCGACTTTCATACACAGAAATGAGGCGGCTAGTGTCCTCTTCCCTTCTCTTCTTCTATATATGGATACTCCATCCTTACCAATTATGCACCATTCTTCTGGAAAAATTATAACATTGTGTTCACAAGAGTGAAGGGAGAAGTCTGGTGTTGTTGGTTGCCGCCGAAGTCGTCGGAGCTAGCTATAAACCTCGTCGGAAGTTTCACCGGAAAATTCTCAAAACCTTCTATAAGCTTTGAGGTAAGCCCGTAGATATATCTAATGACTAGAATGTTCATATAGGTCGTTTCTACGTTCATAAACGGTCATTTGGTTGAGTTTTGTGTTTGACATGTTTGAAGAACTAAGAATCATAAGCCTTGAATTTGATGTTAAAAATATGATTTAATGATTCTAAAATGATCTATGAACCTTGGAGAACATCTCTATGTAATTTAATTGAAGTTCAGTACCTAAAAATGGTATTCCCGAAAAATGGACCGAAGGTTGAAGAAGATGAACAGTGACCTGAAACTACGCTGCCTGGATCGATCACACTGCCTGGATCGATCCCCCAAAAATCTGATCCGAAAATTTGTCTGAAAATGCTATTTTTGAGCTCTAAAATCCTATTTTTGATACCAATTGATTACGATCATTATAAAAATAATTTACCACATTAAAAATGATGTTTTTGACAAATAAAAATGTTATGTGATGCATGACGGTAAGTTCGAGTGTTAACACTCGAAGCTAGGCCGCTATTTGTTATCGAATGTTATGTTGATTGATGATTATGGTGAATGATTATTATGATGATTATGACTTGATGAAACCACTCATTATTGAGGATTAAATTATGAGTTGAAATGGATATTTTGATGATTATGAAATGATTTGGATTGTAAGGATATCTAGAAGACTCTTAGATATACCTAGGTTGATGTTGGTTTCTAAGACTATCTAGAAGACCTCTAAGATAGCTTAGAAATAGGCCTTGTGGGTATAATTATGAATATTCGGTGGCCTGGGTTAAAACGTACGTACGGGATCTACAAACCAAACTAGAGGAACTCGTTTGGGGATACCACCCAACCCGACAGTGAGCATTCCGATGTTCGGTTTTTGGATGACCTTAAGCGAAGGTAAGTTTAAGATTTTGAAAACCTCTTTTTAAAAATTTGTATCTTAAACTAGGTCCAGACATGATCCTGGAGGCAGACGAAGGCGATATTGTCGGAATGGATGTGATGGTTTTGAATTATGTTTGTGATTATGATTTGTTAAGCTTCCGCAATATTGTTGAATACTCCGTACTATTTATGTTATGAAAATTATTATTGTGATAAATAAAAGTGTTTGAAAAGTTTTAAATTTTACGATTACCAAGTTAATACTTTAGTCTGAAAGGGGCTGCAGATCTGGTCGTTTATAATGTAATACACTGTGTGTATCCCCATACCTATGTTGGATTTTGATTTGGTGTGGCCTACGTGCCAATAGGTGTGTGAGTAGCACGTAATTTAATGTTTGGTTGTTGGGTCTTTGTGCCTGTTTTAGTCATATTTTTTTTTAGATTTGATGTGGGTGTGACTTTAGCTCGTTGCCTTTGGTTTGATTGTCTTTCTCAGGTATGCCCGTTCTATGATGTTCATTATTTTTTGGGGTAAAGAAGTATACATGTTACTCGTCGAAAGAATTCTCGTCATGTCATTCCTTACTATGAGTAAATAGGGTCGAGAAATAAATATCAATGTAATTAGCATAAGGTATTTATCATGTTCTTTTTTTAGTATCAATTTCAATCAAATGATCTACTCCATATATTATACATTATTATTAAAATTAGCTTAAATTTTAGATTTAAGCATATGGAAATAATTAAATATATCCAAACGATAATACTATGTAATACGGAGTACTCCGTAATATTCTAATGTACAAGCTAGTTTAGATTATTAGCTAAATAATAGCATACCTATTGGAACTGGCCAAATTCTACTATGGAAACATGCATGTAAACCTTCTTTCCTAGTTTTAAAATCAAACTGGACTGGCTGATTCGGACCGGGAATTGGCAAACCGGTTTAGTCTAGCCAATGGACCACTACATGTAGGCCTGTCAATGGGTCGGGTATAGACCCGAACCCGTATAATACCCGTAATTTTTTAGTGGGTTTTGGAGTATAAAAAATATCATTTGCCCGTACCCAAACCCGTACCCGTTATTTTTTAAAAAATATAGGACGAGTAGTCCCGACCCGTTTAAAACCCTTACCGGTTAAATATATATTACGTACACAATATTAAATATTACAAAACTCTACCTCTCTTCTTCACTACTCATCTTCTTCGCAGGTTGTGTGGCTTCCAAATCTATTTGTATTTATTTCACCACAATAAAGCATGTA